GGGTCCTGTTCTGGCTCGCTACTCCACTGTCCTGCCGTGCCCTGCGGTCCCGTCTGGCGCCCTGTCCGGTCTCTACCTCCCCTCGTTCTCTACGAACTTGGTGGCGGGTGCTGACCTACAGGATGCAAGGGTCGACCAGTTCACCCCTGCCCGCCGACGGGACACCCACTGCACGGACGCAGACACGGGTCGACACTTGACCACGTTCACACGTGGGCCGGGGTCGAGCCTGTACACACTCACTGTTCCGTCTCCTCCTCCTGCGTCTGGTCAAGTAGCTGCGTCGGGTCAGGTTTTTGCTGCAGCGTCCAGGTCTGGTCCTGAGTCTGCCCCCTGCTCGTGTCGCCTCCTGTCCCACGAGACCCTCCTGTGGCACCACAGGATGGGTCACCCCTCCCTGCCTCGTCTCCGGGGCATGGCCTCTCGCCTTCTTGTCTCTGGCCTTCCCCGGTCCCTCCCTTCCCTTCCTCCGGGGCCTGGCCCTCCCTGTGTCCCCTGTGTCGAGGGTCGCCTGCGGGCCTCCCCTCACTCCTCCCCGTTTCCTCCGACGGAGGCCCCGATGCAGACGCTTCACATGGACGTGTGGGGCCCAGCCCGCGTCCGTGGACAGGGTCACGAGCGCTACTTCCTGCTGGTGGTTGACGACTACTCGCGTTACACCACAGTCTTCCCCTTGCGCAGCAAGGGTGAGGTCACTGAGGTGTTGATCGACTGGATCCGCGCAGCTCGTCTCCAGCTCAGGCGGAGCTTCGGCTCGGACTTTCCTGTTTTGCGTCTGCACTCGGACAGAGGCGGAGAGTTCTCCTCCGGCCTTCTGCGAGCCTACTGTCAGGCACGAGGCATCCGCCAGACCTTCACGCTTCCGGACTCTCCACAGCAGAATGGGATTGCTGAGCGCCGCATCGGCATTGTCATGGACGTCGCCCGTACGTCCATGCTGCATGCGGCTGCCCCCCATTTTCTGTGGCCGTTTGCGGTGAGGTACGCCGCACATCAGATCAACCTTCAGCCCAGGGTCTCCAGACCGGAGATCTCCCCAGCTTTGCTGTGGACGGGGAAGGTTGGCGATGCGTCGGCGTTCCGTGTCTGGGGATCTCGGGCGTTTGTCCGCGACTTGTCTGCGGACAAGCTGTCCCCTCCTGCTGCTCCTTGCGTCTTCCTGGGTTTCCCCCCTGACGCACCTGGGTGGCAGTTTTACCACCCCACCTCTCGTCGTGTTCTGTCCTCCCAGGACGTCACGTTCGACGAGCCGGTTCCCTTCTACCGGCTCTTCCCCTACCGCACTCCGTCCCTCCCCCCCCCCCGCCCCTCTTCCTGGTCCCAGGTCCCCCCCCGGTAGACCCCCTCCCCCCTCAGGGTCATGCCCCTTCAGGTGTGTCTCAGGTAGACGCGGTCGAGCCTGTCGAGGTCACTGGTGACTCTGGTGCTGCTACGGGTGCGGAGCCTCGGGGTGCTGAGACTGGGGGTGCGGAGACTGGGGGTGCTGAGCCTGGGGGTGCTGAGCCTGGGGGTGCTGAGACTGGGGGTGGTGAGCCTGGGGTACTGAGCCTGGGGGTGCTGCGACTGGGGGTGCTGAGCCTGGTGGTGCTGAGCCTGGGGGTACTGAGCCTGGGGGTGCTGTGACTGGGGGTGCTGAGCCTGGGGGTGCTGCGCCTGGGGGTGCTGTGCCTGGGGGTGCTGAGCCTGGGGGTTCTGCGTCTGGGAGTGCTGCGCCTGCTGCTTCAGTTCCTGGTGGTTCTCCAGACCGTTCTTCGCGCCGCGAGCCGCTCTCTCCTCTGGAGCTGCGTGAGTGGTTTGCCCGGCGCTGGAGGCGAGCTGCTGGAGCCGGGGGTACTGCGGGTGCTGGAGGTTCCGTTGCTGCCGAGGGAGCTGGTACCACGGGTCCCGGAGGTGCTCGTACTGAGGGTACTGGAGCTGCCGGGCCCGAGGGTGCCTCTGGAGCTGGAGCTGCTGCGGGTGCTGGCGCTGAGGCTACGACTGTCGGTCCTACTGCGGGTACTTCTGCGGCTGCTGGTGGTGCTGGAGTCGGAGCTGCTACTGGTGCTGGTGCTGCCTCTGGAGGTGTTGGTGCTGTCCTTGCTATCTCTGGCGGTGCTGCGCGGCCTCGGCCGTACTTTGTTCCGCTCCTTCAGCAGGTTCTTGGTCTCCCGCCTTCCACTGGTCCTTCTCCTCCCGTAGAGTGTCCGCAGCCTGTCCCGTCACAGTCACAGTTACAGCCCGCCTCTCCCCTGCCTTCTCCTTCTCCCTACGCTGGTCCTACTGGAGGTCTTGCTGAGCGTCGTGAGCCTGCGTCCTGCCCTGCGTCGCCAGTCCGAGCTGCTCGCTCTAGTGGTCGCGGTTCGCGTCAGCGTCCTCCTCCTGTCCTTGGCACACACCAGATGTCTCTGCGTCCGTCCACTGCTCCTCTGCGTGCCCCTTTGCCTTCTCCTCCTCAGTCTTCTCTTCCTACACTTGCCGACCCGGAGTCGGACTCTCGCCGTGCTGCCAGTCCTACTGTCACGCGTCTTCTTGCTTCTCTTGTCACTGACCCTTCCTTTGAGTCCGCTGCTGCGTCTGCCCTAGTTGCTGAGCTGGTCGACTTTGCTGCTGCGTGTCGTCTGGACTACGCTGCCAGTCTTGTTGCTGAGTCTGCTGAGTCTGCTGAGTCTGCGTCTGCTGCGTCTGCGTCTGCCTGTCCTCCGTCCGTCGGGGGTGGCTGTGCTCTTGGCACGGACGTCCTTGAGGACATGCGAGGAGTTCCAGTGCTTTGCCGCCGCTTTGCCCCATCTCGTGTCCATGCTTGTTGCCCCTGAAGGAGACCCGGATGCACTAGACATCCCGACCCCACGCTCTTACGCAGAGGCGATGGCAGGTCCCTACTCCTCTCAGTGGCAGTCAGCCATGGACACAGAGATGGCTTCCTAGAAGTCCACAGGCACCTACGTTGACGCTGTTCCCCCTCCTGGGGCGAACATTGTTAGTGGCATGTGGATCTTCAGGGTGAAGCGGCCGCCGGGTTCTCCGCCTGTCTTCAAGGCGCGCTACGTGGCTCGTGGCTTCAGTAAGCGACAGGGAGTTGACTTCTTTCAGACCTTCTCCCCGACCCCGAAGATGACCACTCTTCGGGTTCTACTGCACGTCGCTGCTCAGTGTGACTACGAGCTACACTCTCTTGACTTCAGCACTGCTTTCCTGCAGGGCCGCCTGCACGAGGAGATCTGGCTGCGCCGCCCTCCTGGCTTCACTCGGTCGTTCCCTCCTGGTACCCAGTGGAGCCTCCGGCGGACAGTCTACGGTCTCCGCCAGGCGCCGCGTGAGTGGCACGACACACTGAGGACTACACTTGCGGCTCTTGGGTTTGCTCCTTCTACTGCTGACCCGTCGCAGTTTCTGCGCACCGACACCTCGCTGCCGCCGTTCTACATCCTCGTGTACGTCGAAGACTTGGTCTTTGCCACTGCGGACACTGCCGCACTCGCCCACGTGAAGTCCGAGCTGCAGAAGAGACACACGTGCACTGACCTGGGTGAACTGACAAGCTATCTTGGCTTGCGGATCACCCGGGACAGAGCACGCCGCACCATTACCCTGACTCAGTCACACATGGTGCAGCAGGTCCTTCAGCGCTTCGGCTTCACGTACTCCTCGCCTCAGTCCACTCCTCTGCCTACGGGACACTCGCTCTCAGCTCTGCCTTCGGATGAGTCCGTAGAGTCGAGTGGTCCGTATCCAGAGCTTGTGGGCTGCCTCATGTACCTGATGACTTGCACTCGACCTGACCTCGCATACCCTCTCAGCATCTTAGCACGCTATGTTGCTCCCGGCCGTCACCGGAAGGAGCACATGGATGCAGCTAAGAGGGTGTTGCGCTACTTGTGCAGTACGTCGGGCATGGGGCTAGTACTTGGAGGGCGTGAGCGGCCTGTGCTCACTGGGCACTCAGACGCTTCTTGGGCTGACGACCAGGCTACTCAGAGGTCGTCTCAGGGTTACACCTTCAGTCTTGGCTCTGGCTCTATCTCTTGGCGCTCTACTCGCTCTTCTTCGGTTCTCAGCTCCAGCTATGAGGCTGAGATCTACGCCACGGCCATGGCTGCCCAGGAGCTTCGCTGGCTCACCTACCTGCTGACTGACCTTGGAGAGTGGCCTCGTTCTCCTCCAGTGCTGTACGTCGACAACAAGGCAACCATTGCCTTGTTTGAGGAGCACAGACTGGAGCACAGGACGAAGCACATTGCTCTGCGCTACTTCCTTGCTCGAGAGCTTCAGTAGCGTGGTCAGGTTCGCCTGCGTTTCGTGGCCACTGAGGCCAACACTGCAAATGTGTTCACCAAGGCACTTCCGCCTCGTGACCATCAGCGCTTTTGCACTCTGCTAGGCCTTGTGCCCACTGGGCCTCACTTGCTTACCTCTTGACCTTGCCTGTACTGCTGCATATATATATCCTTGCTCTTGCTTGTTTAGCACTGTTATATATATATGCTCTGCTGCATATGAACTGGCCTTGTGGCCTTGACCTTGTGCTCGGAATTTGTGTGGTATCCTTGAGATCCACCCTGAGCTTGCTTTGCTTTGCTTTTCTTTGCTTGACTGGTCTTGTGACCCCTTGCTCTCCCCCACTTTGCCTATGGGGGTGTGTCAGATGATTATATTACTGATGCATATATTTAGGCTGTAGTGGGGTAGCCCATAGGGGGTACAACCCAATTAGGGTTGGTACTTGTACTTGTTTCATTTCATAGTGCACTCATTCTCTCTCTAACCTCAACACCCCATAGGCAAAGTGGGGGAGAACAAGAGGTCACAAGACCAGTCAAGCAAAGCAAAGTAAGCTCAGGGTGGATCACAACGTCACCACACAATCCGAGCACAAGAGCAAGGCCAAAAGGCCAGTTCACATGGAAGATCATATATAAAGGTAAACAGGCAAGTGCAGGTATAGAAAGATCACAGTACAAGCAAGGTCAAGAAGTGAGCAAGTGAGGCCAAGTAGGCACAAGACCTAGCATCGTACAGAGGCGCTAATGATCACCAGGTGGAAGTGCCTTGGTAAAGATATCAGAACTGCTGGCCTCAGAGGCCACGTAAGCAAGGCACAGCTGACCACGCTGCTGCAGCTCACGAGCAAGGAAGTAGCGAAGAGCAATGTGCTTCGTTCTGTGCTCCAGTCTGTGCTCCCGACACAAGGCCAGCATGGCCTTGTTGTCTACGTACAGAACTGGAGGAGAACGAGGCGGCTCTCCTAGGTCAGTCAGCAGGTAGGTGAGCCAGCGTAGCTCCTGTGCAGCCATGGCCCCCGCGTAGATCTCAGCCTCCCAGCTGGAGCCGAGAACAGAAGACGAGCGGGTAGACCGCCACGAAACAGAGCCGGAGCCAAGGCTGAAGGTGTAACCCTATGACGAGCGCTACGTAGCCTGGTCGTCAGCCCAAGAAGTGTCCGCGTGATCTGTGAGGACCACTCGACGTCGCCCTCCAAGCCCTAGCCCCATGCCCGACGTACTGCACAAGTAGCGCAACACCCTCTTCGCTGCAGCCATGTGCTCTGGTCGGTGTCTCCCAGGAGCAACATAGCGTGCCAAGATGCTAAGAGGGTATGCAAGATCAGGTCTTGTGCAAGTCATCAGGTACATGAGGCAGCCAACAAGCTCTGGGTACGGGCCACTCGGCTCTACGCACTCATCTGAAGGCAGAGCTGAGAGCGAGTGGCGAGTAGACAGAGGAGTGGCCTGAGGCAAGGAGTACGTGAAGTCGAAGCGCTGAAGGACCTGCTGCACCATGTGTGACTGAGTCAGAGTAATGGTGCGCTGTGCTCTGTCCCGGGTGATCTGCAAGCCAAGGTAGCTGCGCAGTTCACCCAGGTCTGTGCACGTGTGTCTCTTCTGCAGCTCGGACTTCACGTGGGCGAGTCCAGCAGTGTCAGCAGTGGCAAAGACCAAGTCGTCGACGTACACGAGGATGTAGAACGGCGGCAAAGAGGTGTCGGTGCGCAGAAAGAGCGACGGGTTGGCTGTAGAAGGAGCAAACCAAAGAGCCGCAAGTGTAGTCCTCAGTGTGTCGTGCCACTCACGGGGCGCCTGGCGGAGACCGTAGACTGGCCGCCGGAGGCTCCACTGGGTACCAGGAGGAAACGACCCAGTGAAGCCAGGCGGGCGGCGCAGCCAGATCTCCTCGTGCAGGCTGCCCTGCAAGAAAGCTGTGCTGAAGTCAAGAGAGTGAAGCTCGTACTCACGCTGAGCGGCTATGTGCAGCAGCACCCGAAGAGTGGTCATCTTCGGGGTGGGAGAGAAGGTCTGAAAGTAGTCAACTCCCTGCCGCTGACTGAAGCCTCAAGCCACGTAACGCGCCTTGAAGACAGGCGGAGAACCCGGCGGCCGCTTCACCCTGAAAATCCACATGCCACTGACGATGTTCGCCCCAGGTGGGGGAACCTCGTCGACGTAGGTGCCTGTGGACTTCCAGGAAGCCATCTCTGCGTCCATAGCTAACTGCCACTGTGAATAGTAGGGACCCTCGATCGCCTCCGCGTACGATCGAGGAGTCGGGATGTCTGGTGCATCCGGGTCTCCCTCAGGGGCAATCAGCGTGGGCACGAGATGAGGCAAAGCAGCAGCAAAACACTGGAACTCCTACTGCCTGTCCTCAAGGACGTCCGTGCTAAGAGTACACTCACCCCCGACGGACGGAGGAAAGTCAGACTCAGACTCAGGAACAAGACTAGCAGAGTAGTCGAGACGACAGCGAGCAGCAAAGTCGACAAGCTCAGCAACTAGGGCAGACGCAGCACCGGACTCAAAGGAAGGGTCACTAACAACAGTAGCCAGGAGACGCGTGACAGTAGGACTGGCAGCACGAAGAGAGTCAGACTCCGGGTCATCAAGAACAGGAAGAGAGGACTCTGGAGGAGACGGCAACGGGACACGCAGAGGAGCAGTGGAAGGACGCAGTGCCATCTGGTGTGTGCCTGGGACCGCAGGAGGACGCGGACGCGAAGCACGACCACTAGTGCGAGCAGCACGAACAAGCGACACAGGACGAGACGCAGGCTCACGACGCTAAGCAAGACCTCCAGTAGGACCAGTGTAGGGAGAAGGAGCAGGTAAGGGGGAGGCGGGCTATAACTGTGACCGCGACTGGACAGGCTATGGACACTCTAAGGGAGGAGCAGGACCAGTAGAGGGCGGGAGACCAAGAACCTGCTCAAGGAGCGGAACGAAGTACGGCCTCGGCCGCGCAGCGCCTCCAGAACCAGCAGGGACAGCACCAGTAGCCTCAGTGGCAGCACCAGCGCCAGCAGCACCTCCAGCTCCAACAGCGCCAACTCCAGCACCCTCAGACGCACCAGCGCCAGCAGAACCACCAGCGCCAACACCCCCAGCAGCTCCAGCAGCTCCAGCAGCACCAACGCCAGCAGGACCAGCAGCTCCAGTACCGCCGGCAGCTCCATTAGTACCTCCAGCAGGACCAACTCCAGCAGCCCGAGCAGCACCCCCAGTCCTAGCAGCTCCAGTACCTCCAGTACGAACACCTCCGGGACCAGCAGCAACAGTAGTACTTCCAGCTCCAGCAGCACGGCTCTAGCGCCGGGCAAACCACTCGCGCAGCTCCTGCGGAGAGAGTAGCTCCCGCCTCGACGAAGCACCGTGAGAGGCCACACGAGCAGACCCAGCACCCCCAGGCTCCGCACCCCCAGGCTCAGCACCCCCAGGCTCAGCACCCCCAGACTCAGCACCCCCAGGCTCAGCACCACCAGACTCAGCACCCCCAGGCTCAGCACCCCCAGGCTCCGCACCCCTAGACTCAGCACCCCCAGGCTCCGCACTCCCAGGCTCAGCACCTCCAGACCCGGCACCCGCAGGCTCAGCACCTCTAGCAGCACCAGAGTCAGCAGCGACCTCGACAGGCTCGACTGCGTCTACCTGGGACACACCTGACGGGGCAGGACCCTGAGGGGGGAGGGGGTCTACCGGGGGAGGACCTGGCGCAAGGAAGAGCGGCGGCGGGGGGAGGGGCGTAGTGCGGTAGGGGAAGAGACGGTAGTAAGGCACCGACTCGTCAAAGGTGACGTCCTAGGAGGACAGAACACGGCGCGAGGTGGGGTGGTAAAACTGCCACCCAGGCGCGTCAGGGGGGAAGCCAAGGAAGACGCAGGGAACAGCACGGGGGGACAGCTTGTCCGCAGACAAGTCGCGGACAAACGCCCGAGATCCCCAGACCCGAAACGCAGACGCATCGCCAACCTTCCCCGTCCACCGCAAGGTGGGGGAGGTCTCTGGCAAGGAGACCCGGGGCTGAAGGTTGAGCTGATGCGCTGCAAACGGCCACAGAAAATGGGGGGCAGCCGCATGGATCATGGACGTACGAGCGACGTCCATGACCATGCCAATGCGGCGCTCAGCAATCCCATTTTGCTGTGGAGAGGCCGGAAGCGTGAACGTCTGGCGGATGCCCTGTGCACGACAGAAGGCTCCCAGACGGGCAGAGGAAAACTCCCCGCCTCTGTCAGAGTGCAGACGCAGAACAGGAAAGTCCGAGCCGAAACTCTCTCTGAGCTGGAGACGAGCTGCAAGGATCCAGTCGATCAACACCTCAGCGACGTCACCCTTGCTGCGCAAGGGGAACCCTGTGGTGTAACGCGAGTAGTCGTCAACCACCAACAGGAAGTAACGCTCGTGACCCTGGCCACGGACGCGGGCGGGGCCACACACGTCCATGTGAAGAGTCTGCAGCGGAGCCTTTGTCGGAGGAAACTCGGAGGAGTGAGGGGCGGCGCGCTGTCTCCCCTCGACACAAGGGAACGCAGGTAGAGGCAGGCCCCGGAGGTAGGGGAGGTAGGGACCGGGGGAGACCAGATACAAGAACACGGGAGGCCATGCCTCGGAGACGAGGCAGAGAGAGGTGACCAAGGCGGTGGTGCCAGAGGAGAGTCTGGTGGGACAGGAGACGACACAAGCAGGGCGCAGACTTAGGACCAGACCTGGACGCTGCAGCAAACACCTGACTCGACGCAGCTACCTGACCAGACTCAGCAACCGGAGGAGACTCAGTAGTAAGTGTGTACAGGCTCGACCCCGGCCGACGGGTGAATGTGGCCAAGTGTCGGCCCGTCCGAGCACACGTACAGTGGGTCACGCGCTGACTCGCAGGAGCGAACTGGTCAACCCCCCTATCCTGTAGATCAGCTCCACTCACCAAGTTCGTAGAGAACGAGGGGAGGTAGAGACCTGACAGGGTGCCAGAGGGGGCTGCCGGGCACGGTAAGACGGTGGAGAAGCTAGCAAGGACAGGACCCTCAGAGGGATCCGCCAGGGAGACCGCAACCGGCCGACCAAGCGGCGTAAGCGTGGTGCGGTCTCGAAAGGAGCGGGAAGCACCCGAGTCAAGGGTGTGTAAGGCCTGAGCCGACGTGGTACCTGAGAGAGCAGACTCACCAGCACTTGGGGCAGCAGACGCACTAGCACCTAGAGCAGCAGCCTCACCAGCACCTAGAGTAGCAGCCTCAATGCCCGGGTCAGGCAGAACACACATGTAACAGTCACCCTCATCACTAGTAGACACAGCATACATGGCAGCAAGAATAGCATCATAATCAAAATCAAAGATAGCAACCCCCGCCCTAGACAGCTCTCCCCAGCGAGGGATCTCAGTGGCGTCAAGGAACTGGTGAGGCCACATGTCCGTCAGGCGGCCGAAGCAGCGCTGGGTGGAGTGCGGGCCCCCGCACTGCTCACCAGCGCGGTCGCCGGTACGGAGGACGTAGGTGCAGGGACCAGTACCCCCACCTCGCTGACGCCCAGTGTACCACTCACGAAGCTGCTGGGGGGACGGGGTCTCACGAGTGCGCTGCTGCTGCTGGCGCGGACCACCACCGGAGCCACTCCTCTGCGCAGAGCCGCAACCAGCTCCACCGCTGCCTCCGCCGCCTCCGCCACCTCCGCCGCCTCCGCTCCCTCCGCCACCGCCGCCGCCTCCTCCGCCTCCATTGTTGCCACCGACACCTCCACCCCCGCCACCACTCCCACCACCACCCCCACCCCCTCCACTGCCTCCACCACCACCCCCACCGCCCCCGCCAGCCCCTCCAGCGCCCTTGCCCCCCTTGCCCTTGCCGGTGTGGCGTCTCCCGCTAGGGGCAGACGCAGCGCCGACCGACTCGAAACCAACGAGGTCGGCCGCAGCAGTAGAAGCAACAGAGGGCAAGAGGGGGGAGGGGGAACACCCCTCAAAGACGGGGGTGCGAGGGTCGCCACGAGAGGCTCCTACAGCGACTATGCTCTTCTCTGCTGCTAGGAGGCGCTCCTCGAGGAGGTCAACGGTGAGTGTGGTGGGGCAAACTGAGAGGAAGTGGTCCCTGACTACGCGAAGGGAGTGAGGGAGCCGGGTGACTATGTAGTAGAGGGTGATGTACATGGGGGGGGGGGGGGGGGTTCTTTGCACAGAACTCAGCAGGAAGCGCAGCGCGGTAGCGAGTGTCACTAGTGCGAAGGTGCGTAATGAGGTCCGCGACTGTGGGAAAGGCAGCAAGGTCAGGGAACAGGTACGGCAGCATGAGGCGGCTAAGCGCAGCAGTGGCAGGGGAGGAGTAGCGTGCAACTACAGCGTCGTACAAGGTCTTAGCACTCTTGTACTGGCTAAAGTGCGCACGCTCAGTGGTCGGTAAGTGGCGACGCACAGCAAGACGGGCAGCAGCATCGCGTGTGGCCCACTGTGAGCGAGCAGTGCTGTCAGTAGTAGCAGGCGGGGCAGGAGAGGCACCAGAGGTGAGTTCGAACAGGGAGAGTCCGTCTGCCCTATCACACTGGAGAAACAGCTGGAGGTCATCGACCCAGACCTCAAAGTCAACAGTACGACCCTCAGCATCAAAGGTAAGGACACTGGGGGTAGCCATGACTGCAGTGGCCTAGCAGGGAGTGATCTCACCAGTCCGAGTAAGTAGGGCCGGGGCGCGCCGGTAGGAACAGTAGCGGCTTGACGGCAGGGCGGCTCGGCTGCTGGGCGGCTCGGCGGCTCGGCTGTTGGGCGGCTCGGCTGCTGGGCGGCTCGGCGGCTCAGTTGCTGGGCGGCTCGGCGACTCGGCGGCTCGGCTGCTGGGCGGCTCGGCGGCTCGGCTTCTGGGTGGTTCGGCTGCTCAGCTGCTGGGCTGCTCAGCGGTGAAGGGGCCGGTAGAGGCGGCGACGGGGCTGGTAGAGGCGGCGAGGTGGCCGCGAAGGGCGGCGACGGGGCCTCCAGGGGCGGCGACGGGGCCGCTAGGGGCGGCGACGGGGCCGCAGAGGGGCCGCAAGGGGCCTAGAGGGGCGGCGACGAGGCCGCGAAGGGGCCGTAAGGGGCCTGAAGGGGGCGGCGACGGGGCCGCAAGTGGCGGCGACGGGGCCACGAAGGGGCCGCGAGGGGCCTAGAGGGGCGGCGACGGGGCCGCTACGGGCGGCGAGTGGGCCGTGAAGGGGCCGCGAGGGGCCTATAGGGGCGGCGACGGGGCCTAGAGCGGCGGGGACGGGGCCGTGAAGGGGCCGCGAGGGGCCTAAAGCGGCGGCGACGGGGCCTAGAGCGGCGGCGACGGGGCCGTGAAGGGGCCGCGAGGGGCCTAGAGGGGCGGCGACGGGGTCGCTAAGGACGGCGACGGGGCCGCTAAGGGTGGCGCGAGGGGCCTCTTGGAGGGTGCGACGTGAGGGCGGCCTACGGGGCACGCCTCGGGCAGGAAAAAAAAGATCGAGTTGGGTGGTGGGCCCTGAGAAGCGTTCCCACGAGGGAACCTGCTCTATACCATGTGAAGAATGAGGAATGAATGAACTAGCAAGCAGGTGGGTACAAGTAGGAAAACCTAGAAATGTTGTACCCCATATAGTCTACCCCACTACAGCCTACACAGACTATAGCATATAAGTTTGACAACAAGTGGAAGCACCAAGTTGGAAAATGAGTACAACTATGAGCTAAGGCGCGGGCGAACATTTATAAGAAGTTCAAACCACTCGTTCAAATAACCGTTTGAAACCCACTGCACCGATCCGAGCTCAGGAGGAGTCATAATACCACCAAACACGCAGCGCATTTACACCGCCGGTGAGATGCTTGTGCCGGGAGAGTTTTGCTCAATCCCGTGGAATCTAGGTTCGTTTTATTTTCGCCATGTGGCATGCCTTCGATCGCGAGAACCGCGATCTGTTTTATTCTTCCCACATTTATTTAAGAGAAATATAGTAAAGCTTAGTGGGTCACTTGTACTGTCCTGCCCGCGGGCAACAATAAAACCCCTATAGGAAAAACATGCGTTAGGGATGCATCAACCCTAAACACCTAGAGGCAAGGTGTTTAGGGTTGATGCCTCCCTAACACATGCCATGCCCAAATGGGTTTTATTTTTGCCTGCGGGCAGCGCGGTACAGAACTTAACTAAATCTCTCTTGAAGTTTGTGGTAACAATAAAACAGATCGCGGTTCCGCGATCGAAGGCTTGCCACGTGGCGAAAATAAAACAAACCGCGCTTCCGAGGATTTGAGCAAAATTCTCTTGTGCCGGATACACCGCCGTGACAGATGCCTTTTCTAATTTCAAGTACCTAGTATAGTAAACGTCTGTCCGGTAATCGTCGTGAGCCGCCATGGTTCGCCCGCACAGGTCGCTCATTAGTCGTTGGCTAACGCGCTTCTACTTGATTGGGTCGCAAAAAGCAGCTTCTGTCGTCGCAGCCGTCGCAATCGTCGCGTCCATTTCCGCTGTCGCATTTCTCCTATCGCCAGGATTCGTGCGGCCATTCTGGCCGTCGTTCCTCCCCAAGGGCCCTGCGTCACCTCCCTCCGCTTTCCCGCAGAGTGGTTGCGAAATTGCGAGGAACTGCCGCGAGAAGCGACTGGATCGATACATTTATGCTGATCAGGATCCTTCAGAATTCTGGTGAGCTTATATCGGGGATATTGTGCTTAATAGAGGTGAACTTGAACTCTTGAAACGGTTCTAAGCGAAGTGTTTCCTGCTTCACTAGCTAATGCGATACAGCAAATCTCCTCAAAAGTGTTTCTCTTGCTGCATTTGCGTACGCGTCTACGTGTAATGAAACGGTTATTAACGCGGATGAATGGGGCCGTGGGTTGGAGCAGGTGGGAGGACTCGGCCAATCGCATGCGAGACAAGGCCCCCAAGGGGTGGTGGACGGGTTACATTCTGCGGGTTACCACACACCGCTGGTTCAACAGGACCGTTACGAACCGCATCCAATGGTGGCATTGGATAACCGTAATTGTAAGACGCAGTGCTGCGACGGTAGCATGGTAACTGATTGAGATCGTGGAAGGTGAGTGTAGTATGAGATGAGCCTGTGGGAACGCTTTTGTAAGCGTCAGACGTGGATTTGTAACTAGGGTATGATTGCTTTGGCCAGGGCACCCACCACCACCTTCTCTTGATTGCCTGTCTTTATTCAAGGAGTTATTATTAACTTTCCTGTTGTCTCCCCCTTTTGTCGTGCACCGTTCCCACAGGCGCCTGACGACATGCACACAACGCGCACAAAGGGGGCTCGTGCTTTTTGTCATCGGGTGGGTCGGGGTGGACTCTACTCAACAATCCTCCACTCCGCTCACTGTTGCATCCCCCTCTCAACTCCATGCTCTCCTCCACTCCACACAGGCGCCGGCCGACATGCACAACGCACACAAGGGGCTCGTGCTGTTTGTGATCGGGTCAACTTAACACTCCATTTTTCACACCCCTCTCAACCGCAATGCACTCCTCCACACAGGCGCCGGACGACATGCACAACGCACACAAGGGGCTGGTGCTGTTTGTGATCGGGTCGGGGTGGTCGCAGTTCTACTTCCACCACGTGCCTGACAAGGACGAGATGTTTACCGCTGCGTTTGCGCCGTACGTGCTGCCTTTGCCCCGTACGTGCTGCCTTCGCCCGGTACGTGCTGCCTTTGCCCCGTACGTGCTGCCTTTGCCCCATACGTGCTGCTTTCGCCCCGTACGTGCTGCCTTTGCCCCGTACGTGCTGCCTTTGCCCCGTACGTGCTGCCTTTGCCCCGTACGTGCTGCCTTTGCCCCGTACGTGCTGCCTTTGCCCCGTGCTGCTGCTGTTGCTTCTGTTGCTGCTGTTGCTGCTGCTGCTGTTGCTGTTGCTGCTGCTGCTGCTGCTGCTGCTGCTGCTGCTGCTGCTGCTGCTGCTGCTGCTGCTGCTGCTGCTGCTGCTGCTGCTGCTGCTGCTGCTGCTGCTGCTGCTGCTGCTGCTGCTGCTGCTGCTGCCGCTATACCTGAAGCATTTTTTAGTGTGCATGCACGGTGGACCCTGGAAGGTCTTGGTGTGATCAGGCGGAGTGGCAGGGATGCGGCCTGGCCACGGAATGGTGCATAGAATGTCATGGGGGAGTAAGCAATGGTTAGGGCAGCAATGCAGGCATATCCGGCCAGGGGTGTTTGTTGAGTTGGTCCTGTGCTGCGCTCTTCCTGGCGCTCTTACATGCCATTCAGTGCGTGCCGCGTGGCATCGTAGCACTGGAGCTGGTAGTTCCTACCTTCCGAGTGCTATAACGCCCGTCAGTCAGAAAAGCACCATTGCCTCACCCGTCACCTGCCTGTCCCCATATTTGGTGCTCTTGTGTGTTGTCCATGACATGGCATGCCACGTGGCAGTCTGGTAGTGGAGCTGGGGATGCTGGGAGCAGTGCTGCATCAGCAGCCAATGGAGCCGATGTCTTTCTATGTGGGGCCTAACGGGCCGGGCAATTTCAAAGATTTGGAAGAAGACGAGCTGATGGCGTGTGAGTGAGTGAGTGCGGTGATAGCGTGAGTGAGTGCGGCGATGGTGTGTGGGTGAGTCCAAGCGATTGCATGTGTTCAAGACTCACGAGAGGGCATGTGGGGATTGCATGTTAACCCGCCCGCCGTGCTTATGCTTTTACACGTGTGAGCGCACAAGATGTTGAGGATTTTATCATCCATGCATGCATTATTCAATAAAATCTCACGTTCATCCATCCATCCGTCCGTCCATCCGTCCGTCCGTCCATCCATCCATCCATCCATCCATCCATCCATCCATCCATCCATCCATCCATCCATCCATCCATCCATCCATCCATCCATCCATCCATCCATCCATCCATCCATCCATCCATCCATCCATCCATCCATCCATCCATCCATCCATCCATCCATCCATCCATCCATCCATCCATCCATCCATCCATCCATCCATCCATCCATGCATGTATGCTCCCCTATTCCAGTCTCCTTTGCAATGGCGTTGAAGCATTCAGATGAGATAGAGTGGCAGCTCTCAGTGCCCATGGCCAAGTCCATCGTGAGGGGAATGGATGCGCTGCAGCTCGCCTCCAGAGAGATCTTTCCGCACCTCCCGGTCAGTCACTGCCGCTCTGATTGCCTGCTGCCGGTCACTGCTGCTCTGCTTGCTGCCGGTCACTGCTGCTCTGGTCACTGCCACTTGTGACGTGCCAGTCAGTGCAATGTGTTACAGTCACTGACTAGTCACGAGCTGCCTGGACTGTGCGTATGCTCTGGTTAGATTGTACATACACTTTACTCCTCTCGGTTCTGATGTGGCATGTATCAAACATGGAATGTGATGTGGTGGTGCGTGGTGCGGCATTGGATGCCTGTGGCATGTGGTGTGTAGCATGTGCTGAGTGTTCTGCGGTTCTTTGCATGGGATGTGTGGGATGGGTACTGTGGGACGGGGTGGCATGGGGTGTGTGGGATGGCATGGGACAGGTGGAAGGCTTTGTGCTCATGGGAGTGAGCAAGAGAGGACTCATGGCATGGCTGACGGCCGCTATGGATAAAGTGAGAAGGGCGGGCATGCCTGTTGGACCCACCTGCATGGCATCACATGGTCTACCATTGCATGGCATCACATGGTCTACCATTGCATGGCATCACATGGTCTACCATTGCATGGCATCACACGGTCTACCATTGCATGGCATCACATGGTCTACCATTGCATGGCATCACACGGTCTACCATTGCATGGCATCACATGGTCTACCATTGCATGGCATCACACGGTCTACCATTGCATGGCATCTACCATCGCAGCAGTGGTGTGCAGCAAGGGAACATCAAGAGGAATGGTGATGATGGTTTGCAGTGCACTCTTGCTTGTCTCCCAGTGACACGTCTCAACCCAGCCTGGGATATATATATGTTTTCTCGTTTCATTCATTTAACCATCCATGCATGCGCGCATCGCTGTGCGTTTTTTTTTTTTTCCACTTTCTTTCCCCCGTGTTTTGTCTTCCCACTGCAGAGGGTGGTGGGCATAGTGGCGTACGGCTTTGACCTGCTGGACTTTGGGCGCAACTTCCAGCACCTGCACGACTCGCTGGGCGCGTGGCCGGTCATCCTCAAGTTCTATGCCATCTTCAACGTCACCGAACAGCTGCAATCGCCCCAGTTCCAGAGGCTCACTGTAAGCACCGGGTGGGAGTGAGCGAGAGAGAGGTGGGGTATAGGTGGCACCAAGGTGGCATAGGTGGCACCAAGGTGGCATAGGTGGCACCAAGGTGGCATAGGTGGCACCAAGGTGGCATAGGTGGCACCAAGGTGGCATGGGTGGCAGCAAAAGTGACATAGGCAGCACCAAAGGTGGCACGGTTGGCACCGAAGGTGGTATTTGTGGTACTAAAGGTGGCATGGGTGGCACCGAAGGTGGTATTTGTGGTACTAAAGGTGGCATGGGTGGCACCGAAGGTGGTATTTGTGGTACTAAAGGTGGCATGGGTGGCACCGAAGGTGGTATTTGTGGTACTAAAGGTGGCATGGGTGGCACCGAAGGTGGTATTTGTGGTACTAAAGGTGGCATGGGTGGCACTGAAGGTGGTATTTGTGGTACTAAAGGTGGCATGGGTGGCACCGAAGGTGGTATTTGTGGTACTAAAGGTGGCATGGGTGGCACCGAAGGTGGTATTTGTCGTTCTAAAGGTGGCATGGGTGGCACCGAAGGTGGTATTTGTGGTACTAAAGGTGGAATGGGTGGCACCGAAGGTGGTATTTGTGGTACAAAAGGTGGCATGGGTGGCACCGAAGGTCGTATTTGTGGTTCTAAAGGTGGCATGGGTGGCACCGAAGGTGGTATTTGTGGTACTAAAGGTGGCATGGGTGGCACCGAAGGTGGTATTTGTGGTACTAAAAGTGGCATGGGTGGCACCGAAGGTGGTATTTGTGGTATTTAAGGTGGCATGGGTGGCACCGATGGTGGCATAAGTGACTCTAAATGTGGCAGAGGTGGCACCAAGGGTGGCAGTGGTGGCACCAGAGGTGGCATAGGTGGTGTTAGGGATGAGCAAAGGGCGAACACGAACATGTTCGTCTTCGCCCCTTGTCTAACACCCTCTTTTGCCGAACCGAACAGTGTTCGGTTCGGCGAACAGTTTAGGAAAAAACAGGTGTTCGCTGTTCGCCTGTGGAGGCGTGTTCGGGCGAACCTCGAACACTGTTCGTGTTCGTCGCGGGCAAATTTCAGCAGCGGCCCGAACACGAACGTGTTCGGGCGAACATCGAACACTGTTCGGCGAACGATTTGAGCTAAAAAACAAAACCTGTTCGGTTCGCCTCGAACACGTTCGAGGCGAACCGAACAGGTGTTCGCCACCTTGCTCATCCCTAGGTGGTGTACGGCATTATTAAATCGTGTGTTTTTCAAATACCACCACCTTTGCTGCCACCTTCCAGCTGCAGTCGCCTGAGTTCCAAAGGCTAGTTGTGAGCACACGGTAGCAGAATGTGGGAGATATAATGGTTGGACTTCAACGTGTGCTTGCCATGCCCAAATGCTTCGTTTCCTCTCACTCATGTCTTCTTTCCTGCCTGGCTCATCACCCCTTGCTGCCCACATCACCCCTTGCTGCCCACATCACCCCTTGCTGCCCACATCACCCCTTGGCTGGCTGACTGCAGGAGGACACGGACCCATACTACTACAGGGAGCGCCTCACCATGCCCAAGCTGCTCGTCAGTGCCGCCAACGATGAAGTGCTGGCTCTGGATGACACGTGAGTGGGATGACACGTGAGTGGGATGACACGTGAGTGGGATGACACGTGAGAGGCGCTTAGGGTTCAGGATTTAGAGTTGGTGGCACGTGAGTGGGGTTTCGGGTTCAGGGTTTAGGGTTAATGGCACGTGAGTGGGATGACACGTGACGTGAGTGGGCCTTTAGGTTTAGGGTTGTGACACGGGAGTGGGATGGTGGCACGTTAGTGAGCTGATGACACATGAGCGGGGATCAGGGTTCATGGTTTAGGATTTAGGGCCAATCACATGTGCGTGGGGTGATGCGTGCGTGGGGTGATCACATACCCCTTTTGAGTTGATAACAGCAGCACACGTGACCTCCGCCCTTTATTTGCCCATTCTCTTCCATCCACCATTCGTTTTCCCTGTTGTAACTGTATCTTATATACAACATACATAGGCTAGAATGGTGTAGCTCTTTATGTTCTTGGGGGGTTGGGTGTACACTCCAAACACATTTTGTGGTTGGTCAAGGTTGGGTTTGGTCTTGGTCCTTGGTTGGCACTTGCCAACTTTTGGTCCTAAGGCCTACCAATCACAACCTAGCAACATTGTGGGGTTACCTACTCCACAAGGCATCTCCCCCATTGGCCAACTTAGTGGCCAATAGGGTTTGCTCCTTCTTCACCCCTCTCTTGCTTGCATGCTTGTACTATAGAGCCTCAATGGCTCATCATTCAACTACTCTTGAATTCTATCATGGTATTCAGAGCCAACTGGCTCACGCCACCTTCCCTCGATCCTCATGTTGTAATTCCCTCCCCGCTCCCTTACCCTAGCGGACTATGACCTACATCCGCCCACCCGCTCCTCAGATCTAGCCTCCCGCGGCTCAGTTCCGCCTCCCGCACCTCAGATCTAGCGTTCCGCGGCGTAGATCTCCTCCTCCGCGGCCTCAATCCTCCCTCCCGCGGCCTCTATCCTCCCTCCCGCAGCCCCTATCCGCTCCCCCGTGGCAGCAATCCTTCCTCCCGCCGCCACGCCTCCATCTGCCCGCCGACGCGTCCGACCTCCGCGCCGACGCGGACGACCAGCGCGGCGACGCGGACGACCTGCGACCGCCGCGGACGGCCAGTGCGCGACCCCCGACGACCAGCGCGCTGCCGCGGACGGCCAGCGCGGCCTCGCCGACGGCCCGCGCGCTGACGCGGACGGCCAGCGCGGCCCCGCCGACGACCCGCGCGCTGACGCGGACGGCCAGCGCGGCCCCGCCGACGACCCGCGCGCTGACGCGGACGGCCAGCGCGGCCCCGCCGACGACCCGCGCGCTGACGCGGACGGCCAGCGCGGCCCCGCCGACGACCCGCGCGCTGACGCGGACGGCCAGCGCGGCCCCGCCGACGACCCGCGCGCTGACGCGGACGGCCAGCGCGGCCCCGCCGACGACCCGCGCGCTGACGCGGACTGCCAGCGCGGCCCCGCCGACGAGCCGCGTGCTGACGCGAACAGCCAGCGCGCGGCCACGAAAGAACCGCGCGCCACCGCGGACGGCCAGCGCGCGGCCGTCGACGCCCCTGCGCCGACGTGGACGGCTGGCGCGCAGCCGCGGCTGATCTGCCCGCCGTCGCGTTCGCCTGCCCGCGATCTCCACGACCTCGAAACCCTAATTCCTCCCCGCACTTCCGCACCAGCCTCTCTTCCCCTCTACCTCCTCCCCCTACTCCACCCCTAACGGCACCAGCAGCAGCAGCAGCGGCATCGGCGGCGGCAGCAGCAGCGGCATCAGCGGCGGCAGCTGCAGCGGCATCGGCGGCGGCAGCTGCAGCGGCATCGGCGGCGGCAGCAGCAGCGGCATCGGCGGCGGCAGCAGCAGCGGCATCGGCGGCGGCAGCAGCAGCGGCATCGGCGGCGGCAGCAGCAGCGGCATCGGCGGCGGCAACAGCAGCGGCATCGGTGGCGGCAGCATCAGCGGCGGCACCAATACCAACAGCAGCAGCGGCGCCTTCACCCCTCCGCCGTCATGGCGTCATCCGACTCCTCGGTCGATCTAGCGACCATTGACGCCCTCGAGCTGCTCGGCGACAACTCGGCCGCCAACTGGCACTCCTATGCTCACTCCGTCGAGGTGTTGCTCTCCTCGGTCATCGTCAGTGGTTATACACTCCGCTCCGTCGTGTTCCAGGAGGAAGGCGGACTCCAGCCCATCGTCCCTTCTGCCCCCACCGGACCTCCTCCTGATGAGCTCGGACCTGAGCCCGAGTCCCCTGGTGATCCTCCCTCCTTCGCACCGGATGTCAACAATCCTCAAAGCATGGAAACTGCCATCCGTGCCTACCGCAACACACTCAACGACCACCTTCGCCGTCAACTGCGCTATGAGGACGACAAGCGCGCCTACGACGAGGCTGCTGCCCGTCACCGCGACTACCACGCCCAACTCACCACGTACACTACACGCCTCGCTAGCTACACCTCCGACATCGCTGCGTGGCGCATTGCTGACCGTCGAGCTCTCGCCATCCTCCTCGCCACTATCCCCTCCTCCCTCAAGCGAGAACTCTCACCCACCTCCTCCTCCCACCTGTGGCAACTGCTTGTCGACCTCTTTGACCGGCAGGACATCGCCACCCTCTATGCCCTCATCAAGGACTTTGGATCCATCACCATGGATTCCACTGCCGGCGCAGCCGCCTTTACTCGCCGCGTCCTTGACCTTGCTCGCCGCCTTGCAGCACTTGGTGTTACCTACCCTGACACCGTCATCTGCTGCCACCTCCTCGAAGGCCTCACTCCTGCCTTCGATGCCCACAAGCTGGCCTACATGCAACTCCTCTCCAAACATGACACTCCCGCTCAAGTTGCCCAGTGGATTATCACCACCGAGGCAGAAATCCTTCGCCACTCCTCCTCCACTGCCGCGGTAGCACAGCAGCGCAGCGGCAAAGGCGGACGTGGAGGGGGGCGTGGAGGTGGGCGTGGAGGTGGTCGAGGCGGCTCTGGCGGTCGTGGTGGTGCGGGTCGTGGTGCAGCAGCGGCCTTCCCACCCTGTCAGTATCTTCCCCTTTATGGCCCCACCCGAGGCCAACGCTGCAACCAAACCACTCATGCAACTGAGACGTGCTTTAAGGCACTCAGCGATGAGTGGTTCGCTCGTGGGAACTCTGGCACCCCTCCTCGCTGGTCCGCCCTTAATCCCCGCCCCACTCCCCTCGACGTTCGCACCTCTCCCCTCTACGCTCCTTCCTCCTCCTCCCAGGCCCACCAGGCCTTTGCTCTCCCCTCTCAGCAGCAGCAGCAGCAGCAGCATCAGCAGCAGCAGCAGCAGAGTGTCCAGCAGCAGGGACCGCAGCAGTACGGGCAGCAGCTTCAGCAGCTCCAGCAGCAGCTCGACCTCCAGCCCCAGCTTCCTCTCCTCCCTCCTCCTCCTGTCCCCCAGCAGCAACCGTTTCCCGGCTGGACCGCTGGGAATGCAGCCTCTGCGGCCCACCTCTCCGGTCCCTCCCCTGCGCCGTCCACAGGTGGTAGTGTGACCCCCTTTCCCTCCTCTGGCTTTGTTGGTCTGCTTAGTCAGCCTCCCTCTGTTGCATCCCCTATGTATGCCCCTGCTACTAATGAAACTTCCATTCAGTACTCCGCCTCACCCTCCTCCACCCTTGAGTTCGTCCTGGATAGTGGAGCCACTGACAATGTCTTTCGCGATGCTGGCAAACTCCATCCTCTCCCCACACCCACGTCCCTCCTCGGCGCTGACAGCAGCTTTTCCATCCCCTGTCACAACACGTCCACCCTTCCCTGTCCTCTCTTTCCCTCAGGTACCGTCACAGGTCTTCACATTCCCTCCCTTCGCACTAACCTCCTTTCCCAAAGGTCCCTCCAACAATCCATGATCACCACTGTCACCCCAGGAGGTGCTAACCATTGTGACCTTTTCCAAACCTCCACAGGTCGCTTCCTCGCCCGCATTCCCTACCGTCACCGCTCCCGTCTATACACCCTTCGGGTTCCTCGCCCCTTCACCTTCCAAGTTGCCTCCCCCCCCTCCTCCCCCCCCCTCCTCCCCTCCCTCCCACTAACCCACCCGTCCCCCCCCGCCCCCCTGACTCTGACTGCTCATGTCGCTCCCTCTCCCACCCTGCTATCCTCCTCCATCACAGGCTAGGTCACTTCAACTTCGCCACTCTGCGCTCCTCTGTATCCTCCGGTCTCCTCCACGGTCTCCCCTCCTCCCTCCCTCCCCTCCCAAAGTCCCCTGCCCCCCCTTGCGTCGTCTGTGTTCAGAGCAAGCTCAAGCAGCAGCCGCACCGGAGCTCCCCCTCCGCTGCAGCCCAGCCACTTGATCTTGTTCACATGGATCTCTGGGGCCCTAACCCCTCCCCCACTCGCCAAGGCCATCGCTACCTCCTCGTGCTCGTCGATGATCACAGTCGGTACTCGTCCGTCTCTCTCCTTCGGACGAAGGCGGACGCCCCGACTGCGATCATTGCCTGGCTCGAACAGGCAAACACCCACTTTGGGCGCCCTGTTCGCCGCCTCCACTCTGATGGTGGTGGTGAGTTCCTTAACAACCAGATCTCCTCCTATTGCCAGTCCCGCGGCATTCTTCAGACTTACACCCTCCCTCACTCCCCACAGCAGAACGGTGTCGCTGAGAGCCGTGTTCGGGAGATCACCAAAACGGCTCGGTGTCTCCTTGTCCACGCCTCTTGCCCCACTGCTCTGTGGGGCTACGCCCTCCTTCATGCCGCCCTCCTTACTAACCTTTACCCTCACCCCCTCCTCCCCTCCACCACCCCCACTGAGCTATGGACAAAGGACAAACCCGATGTCTCCCCTCTTCGGGTCTGGGGCTCAAAGGCATATGTCCTCATTCACCCATCTGACCGATCCCGTTCCCTAGGAAAACTTGCCCCTCGTACCCTTCCCTGCATCTTCCTTGGTCATAACCCCTCTTCCCCCGACTATCTTTTCCTCCACCCCCCCTCCGGTCGACTAATTCGCAGCAGGGATGTCGTCTTTGACGAATCCACCCCATACTATTCCTCTCCTCCGTCCACTGACCCACTCCCACCTTTGACTCGTCCCCTTGTCTGGTCTGACACCACCCCTCCCCCTCTCCTCCCTCCTCCCCCCATCCTCCCACCCCCTCCCCCACCGCCCCCCCAGTCCCACGGTGCCCCTCCCTCGTCTGGTGACATCTTTGACCCGGACCCCCTGTCTTCCCCTGTCTCCCCCGCTCACTCCTCCCCTGGTGCCCCTCCTCCCCCTCCCTCCCAACCCTCGCCTCCCTCCCCCCCTCCCCGCACCACACTCACCCGGTATCCTCACACCAGGTCGTGCGACGGTATTCTTGGTGCACCGCCCCCTGTTACCCTCTCTACCTCTACCCTCCCCCCTCTTTCCCCCCTTCTTCACCACTTCTTCCAGGCTGTCCTGCATCAAGCCCCTCATGCACCCGCCCCCTCTACTACCTCTCCAGCAGCGGCAGCGGCAGCAGCTCCAGTAGCAGCCACCGCAGCAGCACCAGCAGCGGCACCAGCAGCGGCAAGTGCAGCGGCACCAGCAGCGGCAAGTGCAACGGCACCAGCAGCGGCGAGTGCAGCGGCAGCGGCGGCCTCGGCAGCGGCACCAGCAGCGGCGGCACCAGCAGCGGCATCAGCAGCGGCATCAACAGTGGCACCAGCAGCAGCACCTGCGGTCATCCGCGCCTTCCACACCTCCCTCTCTGAGGACTCCCATGAGGAGTTCCTTGACCTCCACCTCTCTGACCCCTCCCTCCTTCCCATCACCTCTGACCTCTCTGGAACACCAGTCTTCGCCTTTTCCTCCGCACCCTCCACCTTCATCCCAACCACGTATGAGGAGGCCATGGCTTGTCCCGACGCCCCGCTCTGGCTCGCCGCCATCATCAAGGAGCTCGAGGCGTTTATTGCCAACTCCTCCTTCGTTGATGTGCCTCGCCCTCCCCCCTCTACGAACGTGGTCAAGGGGAAGTGGGTGTTTCGCGTCAAGCAGCTGCCAGGAAAACCGCCCGTCTACAAGGCCCGGTATTGCGCCAAGGGCTTCACGCAGCGGTATGGCTTTGACTTCTTCGACACCTTCTCCCCCACCGCCAAACCTGCTACCGTTCGCGCCGTCCTCGACCTCGCTGCTCGCCTCAACATGGAGATCCACTCGATGGATGTCTCCAACGCCTTCCTGCAAGGCGTACTACGTGAACTGATCTACATGGAGCGCCCCGCGGGCTTCCACCTCCCCTTCCCCGCTGACTCTGTCTGGCAGCTGCGCCGCCCGGTGTATGGGCTCCGCCAGGCTCCCAGGGAATGGCATGCCAAGCTTGCTGCCACCCTTGTCGAGCTTGGGTTTCGCACCTCCCGCTCCGACGCCAGCCTCTTCCTCCGCACCTCCCCCTCCCCCTTCTACATCCTCGTCTATGTTGACGATATGATTCTTCTCACTGCCGATCCTGCCGAGCTCGAGACTGTCAAGACGGAGCTGGGCAGCCGTCTCAAGTGCAAAGACCTGGGAGAGCTGCAGCACTACCTCGGCATGACCATCACTCGCGACCGCTCCGCCCGCACCATCTCTCTCTCTCAGGGCCACTACCTCCAGCAGGTCTTAGAACGGTTTGCAATGGCGCGCGGTAACCCCCAGCCCACTCCCCTTTCGGTCGGGCACCACCTCTCCCCACCCTCCTCTCCCTCTCCCTCCTCCCCTCCTTATCCTGAACTCATCGGCTCTCTCATGTACGCCATGGTCTCTACTCGCCCTGACCTTGCCTACCCCATCAGCGTCCTCGCTCGCTTCGTTGGCGCTGGCAAGCATACGGAGGAGCACTGGCAGGCCGCCAAGCGCGTTCTTCGCTACATTCGTGGCACCAAGGACTATGTCCTTACCCTTGGCGGCCCTTCCCCACCCCTCCTCAACGGCTACAGCGACTCTTCCTGGGCTGACTCTCGACCGGATCGGCGGTCCTCTCAGGGTTATGGCTTCTCTCTGGGCAGCGGCCTCATCAGCTGGCGGTCCACACGCTCCTCTGCCGTCGCCCTCTCCTCCTGCGAGGCAGAGCTCTACGCTGCAACCATGGCCGCGCAGGAGGCGCGCTGGCTCACCTTCCTCCTTGATGAGCTTGGAGCCCCCCAACGCTGTCCCACCATCTGGTGTGACAACGCTAGCACCATCCACCTCACCAAGGATGCTGTGTATCATGGGCGCTCCAAACACATTGAGCTCCGCTACTTTTTCATTCGTGAACTCGTTTAGGCCGGCCATCTTCGCCTTGGCAAAATCGACTCGGCGGCCAACCTCGCTGACATCTTCACCAAAGCCCTTCCCCAGGCGTCCCACTCCTTCCTTTTGCGCCTCCTTGGCCTCACCCCTCCTCCGGTTTTGGCGGCCTCCTGATTCCATTTTCTAGCCTTATGCCTGTTGGGGGGTTGTGTTGTAACTGTATCTTATATACAACATACATAGGCTAGAATGGTGTAGCTCTTTATGTTCTTGGGGGGTTGGGTGTACACTCCAACCACATTTTGTGGTTGGTCAAGGTTGGGTTTGGTCTTGGTCCTTGGTTGGCACTTGCCAACTTTTGGTCCTAAGGCCTACCAATCACAACCTAGCAACATTGTGGGGTTACCTACTCCACAAGGCATCCCCCCCATTGGCCAACTTAGTGGCCAATAGGGTTTGCTCCTTCTTCACCCCTCTCTTGCTTGCATGCTTGTACTATAGAGCCTCAATGGCTCATCATTCAACTACTCTTGAATTCTATCATTCCCCTGGTCCTTCTCAGGCCCTTTTCTCCTCTCCCACCCCCGGGTCCTTCCTTTCTTGGTTTCATGTGGTGCGTGGGGCCACATTCCGGTTCTCCACTCTCTACCCTGCCCTGCCAGGTGCACCTGGTGGAATGACATGCCCGAGCCAAAGCTGCTCTCCACTACCCCCCCATTCTCCTTTGCCCCGCTCTCCCCCACTCCCCCCTCTTCCCCCTTCCCCCTCTCCCCCCTCCCCTCTCTCTAGCCTGCCCTGGCAGGTACATCTGGCGGAACGACATGCCCGAGCCAAAGCTGCTCTCCCCAACCGGCCCTTCTCCCCAACCTGCCATTCTCCCCAACCTGTCATTCTCCCCAACCTGTCATTCTCCCCAACCTGTCATTCTCCCCAACCTGCCATTCTCCCCAACCTGTCATTCTCCCCAACCTGTCATTCTCCCCAACCTGCCATTCTCCCCAACCTGCCATTCTCCCCAACCTGTCATTCTCCCCAACCTGCCATTCTCCCCAACCTGCCATTCTCCCCAACCTGCCATTCTCCCCAACCTGCCCATTCTCCCCTGCCGCCTTTGTTCCCCCCACTCTCCCACCTCCTCCATCCCTCCCCGGCAGGTACATCTGGTGGAACGACATGCCCGAGCCAAAGCTGCTCAAGATAATGGCCAACTCGGAGCACATGCAGATCCACGTGAACCAATGGGTGAGCACATGCAGATCCACGTCAACCAATGGGTGAGCACATGCAGATCCACGTGAACCAATGGGTGAGCACATGCAGATCCACGTGAACCAATGGGTGAGCACATGCAGATCCGCGTCAACCAATGGGTGAGCACATGCAGATCCGCGTCAACCAATGGGTGAGCACATGCAGATCCGCGTCAACCAATGGGTGAGCACATGCAGATCCGCGTCAACCGCTGGGTGAGCACATCCTCTCTCGCTTCCCCCTGGAGAGCCAACCTTTCCTTCCTTTCCCTCCTCTCCAACTCCTCCTGAGCACGTGTAGGTGCGATTTCATGTATGCAAGCTTGATTGCCAACATCACACTTCCCCCATACTCCCCCATGCCCTCTTTCCCGAAACCCTCAGCGCCCCCCTCTCCACACCCCCTCTCCACCCCCCCTCTCCACCCCCCCTCTCCACCCTCCCTCTCCACCCCCCCTCTCCACCCCCCCTCTCCACCCCCCCTCTCCATCCCCCCTCTCCACCCCCCCTCTCCACCCCCCCTCTCCACCCCCCCTCTCCACCCCCCCTCTCCACCCCCCCTCTCCACCCCCCCTCTCCAACCCCCCCTCTCCAACCCCCCTCTCCAACCCCCCTCTTCAAACCACACTCCAGGCCAACCAAGCAACCCTTTCATTCCTCGCCTCTCTCCTGCACGTCAACTCCTCCTGCGCCTCGCTCCCCGCCTCCTCCCGCCCCTCCCTCACCTGGACGCGCCCCTCCAACGCCCCCCCTTCTCCCCGCCGCCGCAAGCGCTTCGACAAAACAGAGGGCACGGGGCTGTTTGCCCGGGAGGAAAGGGAAACGGCCGAAAGGGAGACGGCAGAGGCTCAGACAGGAGAAGGGGGGGTGGGAGGGTCAGAAGGTGACGGACTGACCAATCAGGAGCAGCCACCGCATCCCTGGGGCTGCATACCGGAGCTGCCAGCTGTCGACTGGCCTAAGCTGAGGTGGCGGTTTGATTGGTCCACGTTCACCATTCATGCCACGTCAGACAGGAAGCCGCTCGCGGTTAGAGCATGGTGAGGGGGAGGGGGAGCAGAGAGGTCAGGAAGTGGAGGGAAACAGGGGAGGGCAAGGGGGAGAGGGTTGGGAATAAGTAAAGTGGGGGGGAAGGGGCAGGGTGAGAAAAAGCAGAATCGGGTGAGAGGGGGTGAGGGGAAGAGGGGGAGGGGGAAGGGGGAAGGGGAGGGAGAAGAGGGGGAGGGGGAAGGGGAGGGGGAAGGGGACGGGGAGGGGGAGGGGGATTGGGAGGGGAAGGGCGAGGGAGGGGAGGAGGTTGGAAGGGAAGAAGCGATTGCGAAGATGGGTGAGTGTACGGCTGCTGCTGCCAGTCAACCTCTTGTTCTGCCTTCTGTAAGTTTCATAGGATTGCACGTTTCATGGGATTGCACGTTTTATGGGATCACATTTACGGATGTGCATTATGGCTTTTGGGCTGTATTTCTCTTCACTCAGCCCTCTCCACCCTCAACAACCCAAAACTCGCACACCATTCCCTGTCCCCTTCCCCTTTCCCCATTCCCCCTTTCCCCATTCCCCCTTTCCCCATTCCCCCTTTCCCCATTCCCCCTTTCCCCATTTCCCCTTCCCCTCTTCCCCCTCTCCCCACCAGGACTGGCCGCACAGCCAGCGAGCGCCGAGACTTCCGCTTCGTGCTGCAGCGAGGCTCCAAGGGATGGTGAGTGGTGCAAGTGGATGGTGAGTGGTGCAAATGGATGGTGAGTGGTGCAAGTTGATGGTGAGTGGTGCAAGTGGATGGTGAGTGGTGCAAGTGGATGGTGAGTGGTGCAAGTGGATGGTGAGTGGTGCAAATGGATGGTGAGTGGTGCAAGTTGATGGTGAGTGGTGCAAGTGGATGGTGAGTGGTGCAAGTGGATGGTGAGTGGTCCAAATGGATGGTGAGTGGTGCAAGTGGATGGTGAGTGGTGCAAATGGATGGTGAGTGGTGGAAAGGAATGGTGAGTGGTGCAAAGGGTTGGTGAGTGGTGCAAAGGGATGGTGAGTGATGCAATGGGTTGGTGAGTGGTGCAAAGGGTTGGTGAGTGGTGCAAAGGGTTGGTGAGTGGTGCAAAGGGTTGGTGAGTGGTATGGGGTGTGTCCTGTTCGTGCAGCCCAACCCCATCTGCCTCTGCATCTGCTTCCTTCTCTCCCTTCATCCCCCCAACCCTATCAACACCACATCACCCTCTCCTCCTCCCCCCCTCGGCTGGCAGCATGATGCTAATGGTGCAGGGCACGTGTGCAGGCAAGTTCGACCTGTGTGTGCAGGCCACGTCATTTTCCCCCCGCACCTGCTGACATCTCTCCCTTCATCCCCCACGCCCTCTCACCAACCCATTCCCCCTCCTCAGCACGGCGCCCATGCCAACGGTGCCAGGCACGTATGCAGGCAAGTTCGACCTGTGTGTGCAGGCCACGCCATTCTTCCTGCACACCGTCTCGCCGCCCAAGCACCACTCCGAGGATGGCTTGTGGCACTTCACCTCCACCATCAGCGGCGTTCCCAAGGTGACTATTATGTTTTTTTTTAATATATATACATATATATATATATATATTAGGGGTGACCATCAGTGACATTCTCAACTTCTGAAGAAAGCGCTTCGCAAGGTGACTGCAGTGTTTCAAAGGTGACTATAGTGAGGGGTCACAAGGTGACTGACTGAGCGACTTCCCCAAGGTGATTGTGTGACAGTTTTTTTAGGTGTGATTCTTTACCCAGCATGTTTGATTTTCCTGTGGATGTTCTGCGTGGAGGAGATTGTTGAGAGAGAAGGAAAGAACCATAGTGCTACTCACATGGATTGATACACTGCACGTGTCGTTTGCAGGTGGGGTTTCGAGCATTGTGGATTGAAGCTGATTTTGCGATTCCACAAAGAAAAGCTCCTTTTGTGTTGACAACCGAAGCCATTCTGGCCCCAAACAAGCTGCCGTTCTCACCCTGTCAACCAGGCAACTATTCTTGCCAACAACGTTGGACATGATGACACATGCCACGCCGTTGGACTTGCCATTCGTACTCGCAATAATGAAAATAGTGTATCCATACTGGGGTTCTTTTCTTCACATTGATCTTCATGTGGTAGTTGAGCCTGCTGGAGTTTATACCGTAATCCTCCGTATATAAGACCCTAGGGTCTTATGATAATCACCCCTAAAAAGGCTGGAGGGTATATATTTTTAGAAGACCCGGGTCTGTTCATATTGACATTTATAAGAATGTAGTTTTGGAGCTCAAAGAAGTGATTTGGAATGCTCCGTTTTGAGCTCCTCCCACAAATACTCGAATTGGTCTTCACACGGGTCGAACCTACGTCATCACGAACCCTATCTGGGAGCCTCCTCCCATTGGCCACCAACACCACTTGGTGTTCACACGACAGCGCAGGGCACCGTTTGATGGCCTCGGCCTTCACACCCCATGCACGCTTCGTGCGGGCTGCAATGTCCTGGAAAGGGCGGAATCTTCCAGACACCCCTACTGTATTCTAGCACGTCCTTGTTCATCGGGCTGACTTCACTTCCCCCTCCTGTTTCGGAATATGACCATTTTCAATTGCATTTTTGTAAAATCCTCACTTCTCTAGGATGTGGGGGGGTCTTATAATGTTAGGAGCCATTTAGGGGGGTATAACTCAGATGTACTCGAATAGAGTACCCGGGTCCGTATTATAGACCCGTGTCAGAATGAGGAATGAGTCTTGCATTGATGTTGGTTGGGGTACATATGACAAACCCTAACTTCTGTACCCCCTAAGACAAACCTCACTACAGGCTACAACATTTGACACACCCCCATAGCCTAAGTGAGGGGTGTCTAGCAAAAACAAAAAGAGTACGGTCACAAGACCCGTCCAAAAGAAAACAAAGCTCAGGGTGGATCACAACGTCACCACACACTCTGAGCACAAGCAACAGTGGCCACAAGGCCAGTCCAAGAGATCACAAGTATATATAGTAAATGTACAGACGAAGCAGGCAATAAACTCAAGTCTACGCATGACTAGAACCTGTGTCAACAAGGCCTAACTGCACACAACACCTCTGGTGGTCACAAGGCGGAAGCGCCTTGGTGAAGATGTCTGCAGTGTTGGCCTCGGACTCTACGAACTCGAAGCGAGCCTGTCCACGCCTCTGCAACTCTCGCAGAAGAAAGTACCTGACGTGAATGTGCTTCACTCTGCTCTCCAGTCGCGGCTCACGACAGAGGAGGATCGACGCCTTGTTGTCAGTAAACAAGGTCGGTGCAGAGCTCGGCCGCTCACCAAGGTCGGCGAGCAAGAAGGTCAACCACCGTAACTCCTGTGCCGCCATGGCACCAGCGTAAATCTCAGCCTCAGCTGTAGAGGTCGAGACAGAAGAGGAGCGCGTGGAACGCCAGGAAACAGCTCCAGAACCCAGACTGAAACAGTACCCCTGAGTAGACCTGTGAGTCTCAGCGTCGTCAGCGTAAGAGGAGTCACAGTGACCAGTGAGTACGACAGACTGCTGCCCTCCAAGAACTAGCCCCACGCCTGATGTAGTCGCTAGGTACTTCGCCACCCTCACAGCTGCCGTCCAGTGAACAGGACGGTGTCTCCCTGGCGCAACAAAGCGCGCAAGGATGCTGAGAGGGAAGGCGAGGTCCGGGCGAGTACAAGTCATCAGGTACATGAGGCAACCCACAAGCTCTGCGTAGGGACCACTAGGCTCAAACGGCTCGTCAGGAAAGGGACCAGTGAGTCTGTGGTCAACAGCTAGAGGTGTGCGCTGTACGGTGGAGTGCTGAAGCCCGAACCGCTGAAGGACCTGCTGCACCATGTGTGACTGTGAGAGTGTAATGGTGCGAGCGGCTCTGTCCCTGGTGATCTGCAGGCCAAGGTAGTGGCGCAGCTCACCAAGATCAGTGCACGTGTGTCTCTTCTGCAGTTCGGACTTCACGTCTGCCAAAGCAACCCTGTCCGGAGTGGCGAAAACGAGGTCGTCGACGTAAACCAGAACAAAGAACGGTGTGGAGCCACGACGAACGAACAGCGACGGGTCGGCAGAAGACGGCTGGAACCCAAGGTCAGAGAGGGTAGAACGCAGAGTGTCGTGCCACTCACGAGGGGCCTGGCGAAGACCGTAAACAGGTCGCCTCAGCCTCCACTGGGTCCCAGGAGGGAAGGTGCCAGTGAAGGCCGAGGGACGACGCAACCAGACCTCCTCGTGTAGGCTGCCCTGAAGGAAAGCAGTGGAGAAGTCAAGAGAGTGTAGCTCGTAGTCTCTCTGTGCTGCTACGTGTAGTAACACCCGAAGAGTGGTCATCTTCGGGGTAGGTGCGAAGGTCTGAAAGAAGTCAACTCCCTCGCGCTGACTGAAACCTCTAGCCACGTAGCGCGCCTTGAAGACCGGGGGAGATCCCGGTGGCCGCTTCACCCTGTAGATCCACATGCCGTCGACTACGTTCGCCCCAAGGGGGGGAACCTCATCGACGTAGGTGCCTGTGGATCTGTAGGAGGCCATCTCTGCGTCCATGGCAGCTCTCCACTGAGAGGCCCAAGGCCCTGACACTGCCTCAGCGTAAGTGCGAGGAGTCGGAATGTCAAGGGCGTCGGGGTCACCCTCAGGGGCGAGGAGCATGGCACAGAGATGAGGGGAAGCGGCCGCCAGGAACTCTAGCTCAAACTGCCTGTCCTCTAGGGCGTCACAGCCAAGGGCAGACACACCCCCGACGGCCAGAGGATTGGTAGGAGGAGCAGCCACAAGCGTGGTGGCGTAGTCAAGGCGGCGGGTAGAGGCAAAGTCAGTAACTGCGGCAGTAAGAGCGGACACAGAGGACACAGAGGCACGAGGGTGAGTAACAAGAGAGGCGAGAACACGAGAGAGAACAGGACGGTACGTGCGGTAGTAGTCAGTGACAGGAGTAGGGAGCGACACAGTGAGGGCCGACTCAGGAGGAGACGGAAGCACAGACTGAGACGGACGAGGTGGACTAGAAAGAAGGAAGGCAGTACGAAGGTCAGTGAAGGGAACAGGAGACGAGGGACGAGCACGAGGGGAGCGACGAGTAGCCCAAGAACGAGACGGAGGAGAAGAGGACAAGGGCGGAGAACTGGGGAAAACAGCGGGGGAGGAGTCAGGAGGAGGAAACGTGGGACCGTAGACAGGAGGAGAGGCGGAGGAGGGAGGAGAAGGGGAGGGGAGACCAAGGATCCGAAGACCCGAGACAGGAGGAGGAAGTGGCTGCTGCTGCTGCGGCTGCGACTGCTGCTGCTGCGGACGCGGCTGCTGCTGGGACTGCTGCTCCTGCGGGTCCAGCTGCTGCTGCTGCTGCTGCTGCTCCTGCGGCTCCAGCTGCTGCTGCTGCTCCTCCAGCCGCTGTAACTCCCTCTCCTCTCTCTCCAACGCCAGCTGCTCGTCACGGGCACGGCGAACACGAGCCTGGTGCCTAGTCGGGTAGGGGTGGGGGGGTGGAGTAGTGTCCGAAGCAGCGGCAGCTCCAGAGTCCACCCCAGAAGAACTAGGCGCACCACCCCCAGAGGCAGCACTAACACCAGCTCCAGACCCAGGCTCACCTAAACCCGAAGGAGGCGCACCCTCACCCCCAGACGCAGCACCCCCAGTGTCCGCGCGGCCAGCACCAGCTCCCGGACGACAAGAGTCCTCTGCACCCACCGGGTCAGCTCCAACTCCAGAACCAGAAACTCCAGCTCCAACCCCAGCTCCAACTCCAGCACCCCCAGAACCAGAAACTCCAGTGCCAACTCCAGCTCCAACTCCAGCTCCAACTCCAGCACCCCCAGAACCAGAAACCGGTACAGGAACAGGCGCCGTACCAACCTCTCGAGAGCTAGCACCAGCGGCACGCTGCGAGGAGGACTGTGGGGAGGGAGGCTGTACCGAAGGGGCTACCGAAGGAGGAGGGGTAGCCTGGGACACACCTGACGGGGCTGGACCAGGGGGGGGAGGCTGTACCGGGGGAGCAGGAGGGGGAACGGCAGTCAGGAAGAGAGGGGGGGGAGGAACCGGGAGACCTCGACTGGGGTACCTGACGTAGTACGGAGTGGACTCCTCGAAACGAACGTCACGGGAGTCAAAGAACCGGTGAGAGGGAGGGTGGTAAAAGGTGAAGTCAGAGGAGTCCTCAGGGAAACCAAGGAAGACACAGGGGACGGCACGAGGCGAGAGCTTGTCCGCGGAGGTGTCGCGGACAAGAGCCAAGCACCCCCAGACACGAAACCGCGACGCAACACCAGGGGACCCTGTCCAAAGACTGGTCGGTGAAACCTCTGGTCGAGAGACACGTGGCCAGAGGTTCAGCTGGTGCGCGGCGTACTTGACCGCGTAGGGCCACAGAAAATGGGGGGCACAGGCGTGAGTCAGGGAGGTGCGGGCGATCTCCATGACCAGGCCTATGCGGCGCTCAGCAACCCCATTCTGCTGTGGGGACTCTGGAAGCGTCCAGGACTGACGAATGCCCTGCTCGCGACAGAATCCAGCGAGAATGCCGGAGCGAAACTCACCCCCACGGTCGGAGTGGAGACAGCTGACACGACGACCACGAGTGTCCCCGGTGGTGAGCAACCACCTGATCAGCGTAGAAGTCACCTCAGACTTCTTCGCCAGAGGGAACACTGTGGTGTAGCGGGAGAAGTCGTCAACGACCACCAGAAAGTAACGCTCACGCTCAGGGCCTAGACAAGGGGCTGGGCCCCAGACGTCCAAGTGAAGCGTCTCAAAAGGCTCGGTGGCCGGACGAAGGGAGGAGGAGTGAGGGGTGGCGCGCAGCCTACCCTCGACGCAGGGACGACACGGCGGCGCAGGCGAAGGCGGCAGCGACGGCA